TTTTACAATATTATGTTATATGTAAAAGTCAAATTTTATTACATATCATGTAAAAGTTTATATTGTATTGATATTAAATAATCTTATTTTTTACAATTAATCAATTAAAACAACTTTCATAGGAAATAAAATAAAGAATATTCTTAGAATAACATGTAATATCGCAAATCCGTTTAGTAGTTATTTCTACACGTTTATGGTTGCTTTTGATTGTTTTTTGTTCAATGTATTTAATGGTTATATAATCGATATATACATAACGATATTTACTACCAGTCTTTGATCTAGAGTTATATGCAAAATTTATTTAAAATTAAGTGTCGGTATTGTAATTATCGTAATATAGAAACCACTGTAAAGTAAATATACGTCTCAATTCTGTGTTTGCATTAATACTTATACTGATTATCAGACCATAGAAGACAACTTTGTAGTTAATTGTATATCCAGTAATAATAATGGCGTTTAATAATCAAAAAGCGTTGNGTAATATAGAAACCACTGTAAAGTAAATATACGTCTCAATTCTGTGTTTGCATTAATACTTATACTGATTATCAGACCATAGAAGACAACTTTGTAGTTAATTGTATATCCAGTAATAATAATGGCGTTTAATAATCAAAAAGCGTTGTCAGTCGTGAAGATCGTGATGGAAGTGCTGTACGTGTTGTTCACAATTCTCTGTATTTACATAATAGTGGTGTCGAGTATAGCGCTGTCCGACACCGAGACCTACACTAAGGAAGACAAAGATATTAAAGAGGAGGGTAATTTTAGTGCACATTTTATTATGTATTTGCTTTTATAGTGTGGACACAATTTTTTAAATTTCTTAACACGATAAATTTATACATATATTGATTTTGTTCATATAGCAAAAACCCTTCTGGCCACCGGGGTGATTGGATTAATATTAACAGTCATTGGTTTGGCGGGAATTGTAAAGGAAAACAAATGCATTGTGATTGTTGTGTTGGTTTTAACCATCGTCGGTGTTATGACAAACTTTGCCACTAATGATTACGGGGCCGCCGCATGGAATATACTATGCGCTGCGTTAACAGCATGGTATTTGAGCTTGATCATTAACAAAAAACAAATCAACACTGTCGAGATTGTCCCTGACAAAGTTTGATCTATATAATGATTTTTGTTAATTCATTAAATTAATTTTGCATATAGCAATTTAATCTTAGATTAAAAATTACGTTATAAAATTTATAATATAAGTTTATTATAAGTTGATGATACATTTAAAAATTTAATTATTTGTGAGTTTATGCTGTATTAAAAATTTAATGTCAAATAATTAATCAATTAAAACCACTCTATTAGAAAATTACAATAAAATATAAATTAAGAAAATAGAAATTTTAGTAAAAATATTGCAAGAATTCATATATGGTAATTCCGTTATCCGGTAGATTTGTCATATACTGTATATAATTGCTCATGAGTCATTATGACATTTAAAATATGCAAGATCTATTTAGAATTAAATATTATAAAATAAATATTATAATATAATAATAATTGTTAATAAACGTTAAATGCGATTGTGTTTTATAAATCCAAATACTGATTAGTAGACTATAGGGGACAATAATTTGCCAAAACCGATATATTGTGTGATAATAATGGCGTTCAGTAATCAAAATACGTTGACATTTGTGAAGATCGTGATGGAAGTGCTGTACGTGTTGTTCACGATTCTCTGTATTTGTGTAATAGTAATGTCGAGTATAACGTTGTATTACATCGAGACGGGTACAAAGGGAGACCTTAATAATGTTGGAGACATTATTAACGATGGTTTTAAAGTGCTAGGTATATTTTGTATTTTGTTTATAAACTATGATCCAGCAAATTTTCGAATTACATTACACTAAATTAGCTAAATTAAATTTGTTAAAAATAAAATAAAGTTCTATATCAACTAAAGGGGGTCAAAGTAGATGAGGTGTCTAGGTGTCTATAATATTAAAGTTTTTAAACATGATAAATTAATATATTTTGTTTACATAGCCATATACTTTCTGGCCATCGGTGTGTTTGGATTAATATTAACAGTTATTGGTCTGTTTGGCATTGTAAAGGAAAACAAGTACATCGTGATGATTTTGTTGGTGTTAACAATCATTGGTATTATGGCAAACATTAATTATAAAAATTACCATGCCGCCGTAGTAAATATACTATGCGCTGCGTTAACCGCATGGTATTTGTACTTGATCATTAAGAAAAAATCAGTTACTGTTAAGATTGCCTATAACTTAATTTAATTTATTGTATTTTATTTATTTTGTTACTTCATTAAATTAATAATGCATAGAACAAGTTAGTATTATTTATTTATGTTCAATCTAAAATTAAAAGTAATATTTGTTTTGTAATATTACATTTGACAACATTTGTGGCTATTATGTGATATACAGTATGTTATAAAAATATTATTAAAGCATAAGTAAATATGAATTATAAGTGTAATCATTGATTACTAATCAATATTCAAGTAGAATATAATTTAATAGATTATATAATTGTTTTTGCAAATTTAATTATTATTTTTGGTAACGATTATTATTAATAAATTATAAAAATGTTGATATTTTTAAAAATGATTATAACTAATATAATAATTATTATTACAATAAAGTTATTAAATGTCAAAATTAATGGTACTAGTAAAAATTAATTTTATTATATTTGGGATTTTTGTTGTTTTATATCATAAGTAATCATTATTAATAAATTTTATTTAAAATAACTCCCATAGGAAATGACATTTACAATTAACCCCACATAACGTTAATGCATCCGCTATATACCGGATAACCGCTTGGTGGTTTTCACGTTTAATCAGACATCATTTAACGATTAAATCAAAAATACACACACATTAATATAATCAAGTTTAATACTGTTTTGATACTTGATCATCATAAAACAATCATTCACAATTAAGTGTTTGTATTATAATTATGCTTAATATTTGTATGAGCCTCTAGTCGTGCAGTAAATATGTGGTGAAATTGTATTTTATTATTACAAATATTGGATTATTAGTCCATAGAAGACAACTCACATATTATATGATAATAATGGCGTTTAATAGACAACAGATATTAAATACGGTAAAAATTGGTCTGCAAGTGGTGTACGGCTTATTCATCATTGGCTGTATATTTCTGATAGTAATCGGCGGTATGTCGTTGTTCTCATCCGAAATATTTAGACAGCAACATAATATAACTATGGAGCAAGGTAATTTTATTCACTATTTTAATAACAGTATACTAACCGTTGTATAATATACTGTACATATATATACATATACTTTACAGTATATCCCTTTTTGTTCACTGTGTACAAAACCGGATAACTTGTATGTAATGTTCGTCATTTCCCATTTTTGAAAACTATCTTCCAGGAAAATAGTTTTGCGCCGGAAAATTCTTT